CGCCATAATGGCTCTATTAATCCAGGTCTTGCACCAGAAGTGGTGTAGGTTCATTCTATTGAAAATGATGAATATTATTTCTAACTATGGGGTGAGCTGGTATTTACAATAAGTATTCGAACATCAATTATTCATCAGATTCGATACTTTTCTCGGTTTCCGCAATTTTCGTTAACCTGTAGTATACAGGGGGGAAGGACATTTTGCCAGGTCGCACTTCGGCCTTTTCTTCGCAGAGATTGCCGTCGTTGACGGAAGTTCCTCAGCAAAATATTCCCTAAATGTCCCTCTATAAGTACACGCAGGCCCTCCTTCACCCTCACCGTCTTCAGAATATGACGTCATCTGTCACCGTCGTCGAGCTCAGGGAGGCCTACAGTAACTGCTTCAGCCTGAAGCTCTTACATAATTTCTTGGATCGATTCAACGTGGGATAGTTTCCTAGGGACATTAACTATGCAAACCCCCTCGGAACCCGCCCTTCGGAACCCGTCGTAACGGTACACGATCAGTCGAGAACCCCATTGAGCTCGACCAGAGCACCATGTTTCCGGGGCAAATTTTCTGATGCCGTCCACGTAGATGGCCACTATGAAGATTTTCTTATGAAATGAAATGCGCTCTTCAATTCTAAGTTGGGAGCACACGCTTTGAGCTGAGCAAAGTGTGATTAAATCCATTGAGTCTGGAGACAAAATGTCTTTTTTTTATTGGCCCCCTGTATATGTGGTGCTGGAAAGCTCTCAGCTGGGCAATTCTAAAAACGTGATACACAGTTGCCGAGCAATGTGCTTTAAAATGTCCTCAATGCCAAATATTTTGCCTGTCGCTACTTTATTACAACATTTTTTTAGCAGGTTTTTCTTTATTGGTGGAACAGTAGCAACCTCATACTTCAGGAAGCAATCAGACCATAGACAGCTTCATGACGCCAGCAATTCGAGTAGAACCGGAGGCGAAAATCACATTCGATCCGATTGTTGGCGAAACTCTTCGAGTCCGACGGAACTCTGAGAATCCAGTTTTGACGGTGTAATGTGATAAATTACTCAAATCATAAAGCCTTTACTCGAATTTGTCTTGGTCTTGGGCACACAAGGCCCATTTTATAATAATGCACTCAACGCAAAGCATTGGCTTCGAACGAAAATGAACCTGAATATCGGAGCAAAAGTCGGGCTCAATAAGGGGGTATTATGGCGATCGAAACTGAGTATGTATAGAGATGCGAAGTAGAACGACAGCGTAGAAAAAACTGAAAAAACCGTCGACAAGGCCGTTAACAAAACCCTCTTTCCCACTTGCGATGAAAGGGTTGGTCTTTGGTTAACTAATCCCGACCTTTGCCTCTAAAGATGGTAAGTTTATCACAGAAAATCGTGGCTTTTCTGAATTTCACATCAAAAGTTTATTCAGCAGTTGCTGAATATCTTCTGTTAGAATACGGCTATCACACGGCGTGAGTTCTGTAATAACCTAAATTGTAATTCTTCGACTTCAGAATAAGAAAGGAAAAGAGACATCTTTGTTACGCTTTGATTTGTGAACTTCTATTTGGCCATAACTTGTCAGAGTAAAACACAACATTTGCCTTGAGATACCTATTTTCGTCCTCGTCCATTGCACTGTAGTCCCTCAGAACGAGTACTTCTTCGTTGCTCACGAGATGACGGCTTAGAGCAGCAGGGAGGCCTGTTCTGGAGATTAGAGGCATCGGATTTATCCATACAACACCAAACGGCCCAATAGAAATCACACTTAAGTATACAAGCTCAAAGTTAACGGAAGGGAAATGGTTGAATAATATGAATCTTCCTTCATGGACTACAAGCAGAGAAGTGTGAGAAGAGTGCAATCTGAATATCTTCTTCACCAGTCCCCTCATGAAGTGGCGAAACAACGTTGTTATTGCGAAAGATAATGACTGCTCACGTTATTAGCAATATGAGCCAAGCGTGTAACTTGGAAAGCCCGATTCCTGATCACTGATAACCTCAGCTTTGACATGCATTATTCTGTGATAGCCACCAAAGCTACCATCTAAGTTGTTAAGAGTTCCTTCGACATAAAATTATTCTGTACGAATCCAGGTTTATAAAACTTTATTGGGCACGTTCCACCCTTACAGATGATTAAGATGCTAGAGAAGTGTTTGAGTAAACTTGCTTGAGACGATTATGATACGTATGTTAGGCTTTTCGCACGACCAGATTGCTTCCATTGCTGCTAGGAAAAAAGGCTCTGTTTTGTCTACTTTTGCGTTTATGGTGAACAGAAAAACCTTTACTTTTTCATGAATTTACGCCTGTTGAAAGTATAATTTCGGAAGCCTAGTATAATTCGAAACGTCTCGCTAGTTTGGGGTGTATTAAGGGTTTTCGACCTCAATGTTTAAAGAGGCATGTTCCCGCTCAATTTCAACTTTTTCAGTCCAACAGAATTTTTTAAACTACTGACTTTTCTCAATAGCGTTCCGCTGTCGTAAAAATGAGAGCTTTTGAAGACGATGAAATCGCCGACTGCCATTTCACATCAGTTTAATCTTTGAAGCATTTCCTGCTCTAGAGGTTGTCAGTATGATAGCAAAAGGGAGTAATGTTAGGAGAGAGGTCCAGTGAGACATGAAAAAACACTAGACATAAAACCTCATAAGTTCTTTGGTTGCTTTATTTTTTCATCACGAGATCAATCGCTTGTTTTTCGTAGTTTGTCGTCTGTGACTGAACTTAATTAATTCGCGAGTTTCTCTCTGAATCATTTTTGGCAAATAATTGAAATTTGATGTTTGCTAAGCGAGTTTTGGTTGTGGACATTGTTGTGAAAACTGAAGACAGAGTTGTTCGCACATACGAAGTTTAAACGAATTTGAGTATGCTTATGGTGGAGAGTGAACTATCAATATTCATTAGCACCCGTACACTTATACAGATCGCTTCAAGTTCGCTCGCTAACCGTACAGCGGGGTTAATATCCGTATTTCCATTTTTCATGTACTCTAGGGTCTGATAGCCAACAACGGGCGGCATACAAAAATCAGACAGCAAACTGCAAAACTGATTATTACTCACGCACTCACTAATAAGGCACACCACAATGGAGCAAATGTCTTTTGGAGAAGTGCACAAAGTTTCAAAACAGTGAGCATCTGCCGACAGAGCCATTGAACGGAGTCAATGCTTCACAATATCCACCATTCTGATCTTTTGACAAAAAGGAGAACTACCTGGATACAAACACATAATTTCCTATCATTCAAGATTGACCCATTTCTCGCATTTCTCTTTCGCTTTGGCCTGCAATTGCTTGTCTTTCTCCCATTCACAAGGAATGGGACTTCTCTAGGCTCCGTCCTTTGACGTGAATGTTCTTCACAGACATACATATGAATACGCAGCCTCCGCGATGAGAAAGATCAGAAGCGTGGAACATACTCGCAATCAAAAGCCACAATAAATTGCGGAAAGACAAGCTCACGTGACCTTCTGAGGGCTTTTGGCAATGATCATGAGCCCTTCCCAATTCAGGAATTGACGTCTCGTTTTTCATTCTCGGATCTCTTCGCCGCCGCCGTCTCCTTTCTCGTACGTAGCGATGCAACATGTACTTTGTCTCGTAGTAGTTGATTTGTAATTATTGTAATTTTTAAGGACTTTCGTGGATGATCGGCCATTATTGCCGGAAATGCTCTATAAATAAATATACGACAATGAATTCAAACAAATTATCCTACTATATATAATTCGCTAAGTATGTCTGTGTGTGTGTAGGTCTGTGTGTGTGTGTTTGTCACGAAATTCGTAGCTCGGGTCACAGCAACGATAGCGCCATGGTTCTTACATATGTTATAGGGGGTGGGATGGGGACACAAGTGGTACGTGATAGGAACTGATAACGACTGATAATAGCTGATAAGAGGGGCTAGAAAGCGAGCATCGCCAATTTCGTTTTGCCGTTCATATTGGTAAGAGAGCGTCTATACTTACAAGTCTTATGTGGGGCGGTCCCGGACATTGGTGGTACATGATTGGAAGCGATAGCAACTGATAATGGCTGATAAGATGTTCGTGCTCTCATGGTTCAAGCACACGTATCTGGGATTGCGATAAGTAAAATTTTCAAGACTGCTGCATTACTCAGGAGATTGGGCAAGACCTAGTGATGAGGATGCCTCACAACGATGAAGCTCATTTTCGCTTTCGATCTCAAGATTTTGCCATCTTCCTTCCAAGAAAATATGTGGGAAGCAACCGCTTGTTTGAATAGTTACCAACTCTTTTTATAATGGTTTATTGGAGCGACCCGAATAGATTCAACTGATAAAATGCAAAAAGTTTCTGCACGAGCTCGAGGTCCCTCTACGGATTGGGTTGATGAGAAAGAAAAAACTAAATTCTTTACGACCACCAGAATCAGAGGCAGTTGTTGCCGAAATTCGAGAGCAGGTCTCCGAGATAACGCTCTAGTTTACAACAGAACTTTCTCCCGAAGGATGTGGTAGTTTGTGAGGGTGGTGTATCATCGAAAGGTGCAGCTCTAATAGAGTTCATCACCCTCAAATGTCAAAATTTAGTCGAAGATCTTGCAAATGACTTTGGTAAGGTACGGTATGTTGTTCTGGATTTAGGAGCATTTTACTCAGTGATCGTTTGCTCTTCAATGAAGCTGGGCTCCCTAATACGCGTTCAAATCGACGGAAGCCATCCTGGGCGCTGTCTTCCGGCACTGCGCGCAAGCCGCAAGAATATTGACCTTCTTCCTCTAAGGTCCTTGAACCGATGGACTGTTCTGTGTAAGGATATTTTAGAGCATGACCCCATAAAACTTCTCCAGCTTGGTGGGTGCTCTGAAGTTAGCGCTTCAAAGGAGCGTTGGCAACCTGCGCACTGCTGATTTTGTCGTTGGACGTCAGAAGGCCTCTCTCAAAGCAGAGTCGTCAAATTCAAAGCACTTCTGCACAAGTGATCAAATAGCTTAACTCTATCTTTGTGTGAAGTCGGTTTCCTGATCGAGTCTCTTTCTTGGCTTTTACACACAAAAACATGACATCCTATACTTTTCGGAAAAAAAGGTCTAAAAGTCTCTAAAAGGTGTACAAAATCAATTATTTATAAGCCTTGGTTTAGCAAGAGCCTGGAGAATAAAGAAAACAAGTCAGATATATTTCAGTCATTTATTCGAAGCATTATGCACACTAATCCTCTTTCACATTTCCACAATTATTATATACAGACACGTAGGAGAAAACGAAGAAAGACACATTGAAAGTAACGCCGAAAGAGAACTGAAGGTCTAGCAGATTATATCAAGCGAAATGATTGCACAATTTTTGGCAGTGTAAAATATGAAGACTCACAAAATATAACTAACAAATAAGACAACGAGAATCCACAAGAACCACTAGTGACGAGTTTCCGGCGAAAGGGAAATCGTTCTACATATACCACCTCATAACAATAGGAAATTTACCATACAATCAATTTTTGGTCAGTACCGACTTTGTAACATGATCGTCGGCTTCTTTCAAATGTACTGCAAACTAGATTTGGAAAAAGGAACTATTAGAAACCTCGTGGAGGCTTACGAAAGCCAACTAGGTGACATGACGACTTCCGATGCAATGAGTTTGGACTGAATGAGCGGTGAAAGCGCATATGGAGAAAGTACTACAGCGAAGAGGTACTGTGGAGAACAAATGATTGGCGAGAGAACGAACGGTGATAGCACTAAAGGTGATCCAGCCATAGGGTTATAAATTGGAGGGTTAAGCACCAGAGGTGAGAGGATAATAGGAGTGAAAACCTGAGGCGAAAGAATGAGTGGCGAAAGTACAAGCGGTGAAAGAACGATTGGATTGAACACACCAGGAACGAGAATCAGCGGATGGAGCACTAGTGGTGAGAGGACAATTGGTGAGAACACGAGCGGATTGTTCACCGGTGACAAATCAGCGGCGACAAGACAACGAGGTGAAAAGCACAACGGACGAACACCAAGAGTGAGAGAAATAATCGACGAGCACGGCAGTTGAGAGGTGAG